AGAGACATACTGCACAGAGCTGAGAGACATACTGCACAGAGCTGAGAGACATACTGCACAGAGCTCAGAGACATACTGCACAGAGCTCAGAGACATACTGTACAGTCTCCAGCGTGTCCTGGGACATCTCCCAGTTGGACATGCCTGGGGCACCTCCCAAGTGAGACGTCCAGGATGCGTTAAAACACCTCAGATGTTTCCTCTCAATGTGGAAGAGCAGAGTCTCTACTCCTGGATAACTGAACTTCTCACCTTTTCTTTAAGGGAGAGTCCAGCTAACCTGCAGAGGAAACTCATACTGACCGACTGTATCCATGATCTCATTCTTTCGGTCACTATCCAGAGTTCATGGAAATAGGTGAGAGTAGAAACGTAGACCAGAGAGCTTCAACTTACAGCTCAGCTCCTTCTTTCCACAACGGACTGGGACAGAGTGTGCAACACTGCGGAAGTTGCACGGTCCGTTGGTCAGTCTCACGCTCCATTCTTCTCTCACTCGTGAACAAAATCCTGAGATACTTGAATTCTTCCACTCAAGGGAGAACCTCACCCTCGATCCAAAGAGAGCAATCCCCGTTCCTGCCTTAGATTTAGAGGTGATGGTCCTGAGTCGATCCTCAGTGATCACCTTCTAAAAATGTCATTAAAATATGTCCAGCTGTTCATAAGATATTTTGCTAACAGACAGACAGAGATGGTTAGTTAATTAATTTCTGCTCAAAGTATACATGTTAGGGATGACTCTTACTACCACACCAGTGTGGTAGCTGTTTACTGAGATTCTTGGGGATGGACAAACTCAAGAATTTTTAGCCAATATATCGATTATTTGGTTTTCCCTCAGAATATCGTATCGACGAGAGCCAAAATTTCCATATCGGTCGGATTGTAATAAAAATAAAGAGACAAAGTCACGTTGTGCTTAAAAATGTTACTCAGTGGATTTGTTTTACTTCTCATTAAGAAAAAAAAAGTTACTTCTTGACCAATATTTAAAGTACAAATATCAGACCCTGCTACAGTTTCAAGCTTTACACTCGACTTATGAGTCACACAAGACACAAAGTTTACAAATTAAAGTAACTCTTCTGAATTATTTTGTATGTTTAAAGCTTTAACTGTGAATGTTTAAACATCCATGAGCACGTCTCAAACAAGGGCACAGGTTTCTCAGAGTAATTTCTGAGTTCCTCTCATCAAATGGCCTCTGTTGGTGAAATGGGCTTTTAGAAAACTACTTAGTTTAGACGGTGACGCACACAGAGACTCGTGTTTTCAGTCAACACTCTCACCGCTGTGCTCAACTGCAGCTCCTGAACTCCACCGGAGGCATTTCATCAACGTCAGGGCGGCTCTGAAAACGTCCTCTGTCAGGCCACACTGGCAGGAGGACGCAGGGCGCTAAAAAAAGAGCCTCAGGCCTGAAGACGGGCTGAAAGGGACCCTTAACACACCGACGGGCCGCTCACTGGGGGTCTCCGAGGGAAGGAAGGAGGGCGCATGTTGTCTGTCAACAGAGGGAGAAGTGAGGGGAGAAGCTTAAGAACACCAAGAAACAGACTTTGATTTGTTTTATACTAAATAAATATTCATAAAACTGATTTATACCTATAAATAATGGTACCACATGTTTATTTTAACTGTAATACACTGAATAGTTTCATATGAAGTAAAACTTTAAGGTACAAAACGCTAATGTAAGTTCTTAAAAAGAATCTAAATTATATTTCATGAGATAAAGAAGACATTTGTGAACTATGAATTAATATTTAATTATTAATTACAGCGGTTAAAGTTTAGATTACCACTAGAATTATGATTAATACAACAATAATATATCTTAAATCAATATTTATGTCTTTTGTGTCAATATAAAACGTCAAATTTGAAGAATTGTTATGACGATAAAGTTGCCTGCATGTGTGTGAGTGAACTGCTGGTCGAATTTTAATGAAACTTGCAGAAATTTGTTCCTGGATGTACAACTACTGTTTAATGTTCACAGTCAGTCCAGTTCAAGATGGCTGCCACAGCCAAGCAGCATTAGTCAAAACAAAGAGAGAAAACCCACGCATGCACGGAGAGAACATGCAAACTCCACCCAGAAAGGCCCCTGGACCGGGATTTGAACCAGGGACCTGCTCACTGAGAGGCAGCAGTTTTACTAGTTGCACCACCAGTATATATTACATATATATAATATTATATATTATATAATATATATTATATATTTATTGTTGGATGTAACTGGGACCCTGTGTACATAATTTTGTTCCACCACATGTGGTGTGAATTGCAGGTCCCTGGTTCAAATCCCAGTCCGGGGACTCTTCTGGGTGGAGTTTGTATGGTTTCTCCGTGCATGCGTGGGTTTTCTCACTCCGGTTTCCTCCCACAGACCAAAAACATGCATGTTAGGCTGATTGGTAACTCTTAAATGTCCGTTAGGTTTAACAACAGACCGTAGACTGTTTTCATGGGTTCGGCTTCCTTTTGTAAATCACCAAAAAAGTTTGAAATCACCAAAAGTCTCGAGCTGTTTAGTCTGTAGGTCTAACCTCAGTTCTTCAGCTGAAGGAGACTTTTAATCCTGACCCTGTTTCCCTTTTTAGCAATTTTCGAGGTGTTGGGGGTCCTAAAGGACAGACCTGAGTACAGTGGAGCCACTGTGGAGCTGACATGTCCACAAACAGGAAGACTGGTGGTGGAGCTGAAAGGCCTCGCTGTCTGGGCCTTTTCACAGGGAGGCTGAGTTTGATAACTATCTATGTGTTGAGAGGGGATGGACACAAAACTAAATGATTTTAAGTAAAGGCGTAGAGGAAGGAGGAATAAAGGGGAAGACATCTGGGTTTAATTTATGGCCCTACTAAATCTCCACTCTTTAACCCTCTAACCCCTAAACCAGCCGAGCAGCTCCCTAAAATCTTAATCACTCCCCTGTCGGCCCGTCGGCACCCCCATGGGACGGCAAAGTACGACCAGAGAATGAACAGTGGCCATATTATTCTGCTATAAAACCCAATGGCGTCCTTGTAATCACCTGAACGCCCCATCGGCCAGACAGTCGGCCAATGAGACAGTTAGTTATTCAGTAAGTTGTACGACGGGGCGAGTTATAGGTGCCTCGAGTTTCAGCACATACACACAGAGACTTCTCCCCTGTCTGGACATAAGGAGTGATCTGAATGGCTTTCATACAGAACAAGCTCGTCTTTCACTATAAAGCAGATAAACGGCGAGCGAATGTTAAAAACCGAAGCTTACAAAATCATTTGGGGTTGTTTTCTGCCTGAATGGGAAACTTTCCCTTCATTT